AAATAAACACGAATTCACTGTGTAACTGTGTAACTTTATTAGCAGCGTCCTCATGAAACGCGCCAACAATAACATCCTCCTCTTTCCCCCTTAATGCTCTCTGGTCACTATGGTAACGCGTAAACATTTCTTTCAAAATAAAACACAACTGCAACACGGGAAAAGACCGAGGGAAACCGAGTTAACCATAAAAACCCTGAAAACCATCAATTTCACACCCGAGCCTCAACTCTCACGGCCCATGGCCCGGGTGTTGAGGACTGCTGGCATGTTCCCTGCACAGCGGGGAACATCTGCACTGTTCCCCACTGTGCAGATCAACAGCGGGGAACAGTGCATCACAATGGTATATTCAACATGTGATGGTAACTTGTGTGATTGCCTCAGAGTTCGTCTTAAGTGTAGTCGTCCAGAGTACCATTAAGTTCCTGATGTTATTACAGTTCAGGGATGTCATCTTCACTGCTCTTCATGCACTTCTTATCAAGCTATGGCGTTTTCATAACACAGACTTGCTTGTGCAAAAGCCATGAAAACAATGAAACCTTATTTGACATTTGTCTAAACATGAATAGGAATTCAAACACGTTCAGCACAGTATGAAGACGTTGTCATCAAAATGTTTCGTTTTGTTATCGAAGCCTTGCTGACATTGGAAATAGTTCTGTAAAAATGTAAAAACATAAGCTAGAGAAAAAGTGTTCAGACAGAAAACTGAAACGTGAAGGATTTGTTTCAAAACTGATAGCACTGACAGAAGCAAACGATACATGTGGAACTATATGCATGAGACAACAGACAAAGACAATATATACAGTCTTAAAACAGCAGCAACTCAAAGTGTGTAGGCACGTAGCTACAGTTGAGACAGCTCACTGAAGTTCAAACAAGCCTCAACATAAAGAGGATTGTTGATGCAGATGAGCTGCTGTGAGTAATTCAGACACTATTGATGTACAACCATGGGAATGGTTCCCCCTGTTGATGTCAGAAGTCAGAGGAGGACGTCCAGACTGCTTTGAGCTGATAAGAAGGCAAGAATAACTCAGTCAGCTACTAGTTACAAACGAGGTAGCAGCATCTGTATATAGACAGAAAATAATGAATCAAACAGAAGAAACAAATTGAGTTTTCCATCTTGCAGGAGACAAAAATGGGTTTTCAAAGAGCAAAAAGTGCAAAAAATATCATCAGCTGCATCTTCCTGGAAGATACTGCCGACCCCGGCCGTAACTTTCCAGAGTGAGAAAATATTTAACGGATGTTTCACACAGTGGCCAACACCTGTTTGCTCACAATCCTACAGGTTAGGGATGCACCGATACCGATACTGGTATCGGGTATCGGGGCCGATACTGTAAAATGTGTGTGTACTCATACTCGTAAAAGTTAACCGATACCATGAA